ATTTTTGAGAGCTCAAGAGAATTAAGGAGGAAGACTTTGTAAATATGAGTATCTGCTTTTAAAAAGGAAGTGTGGGATTGGATTAAGTAGACAATACACATTTTAATTTGGGGATGTTGGCCGGGAGGAGGTGAGAAGATGGGGTCTTTGTGAGCTTTGGTTTAGTAGGGAGAATTTACAGAAATAGCAGTAAAGTTAGCTTGAAGCAAAAAGCACCAATTAGGTTTGGCAAGAGTCTAACTGTAATAACAGTAATTGGTTGATAAAGATTGTGGTGAATTTTTAAATTTTATTTCAAAAACTAATATATATCAATTCAGAGTTAGGAACAGGGTAAGAGAATTTTTATAGCATGAGAGATTTGAACTGTTAGGTTGGGAGGAAAAAAGTCAAACCTTACTAACTTTGTTTTTGCATTACCCATTCGAACTGCGGACTATCATTTCTTAAGACTTCAAGATGCCCTTTGTAGTTCAGTTTCCTTTAATTAGATTTTATCTCCTATCAAACCACCTATAGACATTTTAACTTGGTTATTCATCTTTTTTATGTCTAAAACTGACCTCTTTCTGTCAGACTTCTAATCTTCCAACCCTCTTTGAAGGCTCTTTCTCTCTCATAGCCAAATTGTATCCATTGTTTATTTGTAGTCTTTCATAATTTGTGTCCACTATCAAACAGTCATAATTTCATGTCTTCCAGTGGTGGTCTTGTCAAGAAATTTTCCCTTTCCCATTCATCTTGAGTATCAACAGACTGCCTCCCCAAAATGCCCTTGTGTCTTTACTTCTCGGTTCATTCATGTTAAGTGGCTTCTCCCCATTGCCTATGTCAGAGTCCAGACGTTAGTGTGACTCATTTTTCAAAATCCTTGATTATAGGCATACCTTGGAAATATTGTGGGTTTGGTTCCAGACCACTATAATAAAACGAATATCGTAACAAAGCAAGTCAAGTGAATTTTTTGGTTTCCCAGTGCATATAAAAATTATGTTTACACTATACTATAGTCTATTGATAGTGCAATAGCATTATGTCTAAAAAGACAATGAACATACCTTAATTAAAAAATACTTTATTGCTAAAAAATGCTAACCATCATCTGAGCTTTCAGTGAGTAGCAGTCTGTTTGCTGGTGTAGGGTCTTGCCTCCAGGTTGATGGCTGCTGACTGATCAGGGTGGTGGTTGCTGAAGGTTGGGTGGCGGTGGCAGTTTCTTAAGATAAGACAACAGTGAACTTTGCTACATCAACTGACTCTTTCACAAACGATTTCTCTGTAGCATGCAATGCTATTTGATGGCGTCTTACCCACAGGAGAACTTCTAAATGGGAATCAGTCAAATCCTGCCACTGCTTTCTCAACTAAGTTTATGTAATATTCTGAATCCTTTATTGTCATTTCAACAATCTTCACGGCATCTTCAGCAGTAGATTCCATCTCAAAAAGACCACTTTTTTTTTGTTCATTTGTGAGAAGTAACTCCTCATTCATTAAAGTTTTATCATGAGATTACACAACTCAATCATATCTTCAGGCTCCACTTCTAATTCTTTTGCTCTTTCCACCACATCTGCAGTTACTTCCTCCACTGAAGTCCTGAACCCCTCAAAGTCATCCATGAGGATTGGAATCATCTCCTTCCTCACTTCTGTTAATGTTGCTATTTTGACCTCTTCCCATGAATCAAATGCTCTGAAGGTTTTCAGTTTACTTTGCCTGGATCTATCAGAGAAATCACTGTGTATGGCAGCTATAACCTTACAAAATTTGTTTCTTAAATAACAAGACTTGAAAGTCTAAATGACCCCTTGATCCATGGGCTGTCAAATGGATATTGTGTTAGCAGGGATGAAAACAAGATAAATCTCATTGTACATCTCCATCAAAGCTCCCTGGGTGATCAGGTGCATTGTCAGTAAGCAGTAATATTTTGAAAGGAATCTTTTTTTCTGAGCAGTAGGTCTCAATAATGGGCTTAAAATATTCAGTGAATCACGTTGTAAACAGATGTGCTGTCATCCAGCCTTTGTTGTTCCCTTTATAGAGCAAAAACAGTAGATTGAGCATAATTGTTAAGGGCCCTATGATTTTTGGAATCGTAAATGAGCACTGGCTTCAATTTAAAGTCACCAGCTGCATTAGCCTCTAACAAGAGAGTGAGCCTATCCTTTGAAGCCAGGCATTGACTTCTTCTCTGTAGCTATGAAAGTCATAGATGGAATCTTCTTCCAATATAAGGCTATTGCATCTACATTGAAAATTTGTTACTTAGTGTAGCCACCTTCACTAATTATCTTAGCTGGATCTTCTGGGTAACTTGCTGCAGTTTCTATATCAGCACTTGCTGCTTCGCCTTGCACTTGATGTTATGGAGATGGCTTCTCTCCTTAAACCTCATAAACCAGCCTCTGCTAGCTTTAGACTTCTCTTCTGCAGCTTCCTCACCTCTCTCAGCCTTCACAGTATTGAAGAGAGGTTAGAGCCTTGCTCTGGATTAGGCTTTGGCTCAAGGGAATGGTGAAACTGGTTTGATCTTCTATGCAGACCACTAAAACTTTCTCCTATCAACAATAAGACAGCTTTGCTTTCTTATCATTCATGTGCTCACTGGAGTAGCGCTTTTAATTTCCTTCAAGAACCTAAAATCCTTTGCATTTACAACAGGCTCTGGCCTATCTTGGATTTTGACATGCCTCACTAAGTTTAATCAGTTCTAGCCTTTGATTGACAGTTGAGATAGGTACAGCTCTTCCTTTCACTTGAACACTTAGAAGCCATTGTAGGGTTATCATCATCATCATTATTATTATTAATTAGGGTCATTTCAGTATTGTTGTGTCACAGAAAATAGGGAAGTCCAAGGAGAGGGAAAGAGATGGGGAAACAGTCAGTGGAATAGTCAGAATACACACAACATTTATCAATGAAGTTCACCATCTTCATGGATATGGTTCATAGCACCCCAAAACAATTAGAGTAATAACATCGAAGATCACTGGATTGGGCGGCTAGATGGCTCAGTCAGTTGAGCATCCAACTCTTGGATTTCAGCTCAGGTCATGATGTCGGAGTCATGGGATCGAGCCCCAAGTCAGGCTTTGTCTCCCTCTGCCCGTCCCCCCACTCGTGCTCTCCTGCATGCTCTCTCTCTCTCTCTCATATAAACAAATAAACCTTTAAAAAAAAAAAGATCAGTGGACCATGGATTGCCCTAACAAATACAATAGTAATGAAAAGGTTTGGGGCGCCTGGGTGGCTCAGTTGGTTAAGCGACTGCCTTCGGCTCAGGTCATGATCCTGGAGTCCCGGGATCGAGTCCCGCATCGGGCTCCCTGCTCAGCAGGGAGTCTGCTTCTCCCTCTGACCCTCCTCCCTCTCATGCTCTCTGTCTCTCATTCTTTCTGTCTCAAATAAATAAGTAAAATCTTTAAAAAAAAAAAAAAAAAAAAAAGGTTTGAAATATTCTAACCATTACCAAAATGTGGCACAGAGACATGAAGTGAGCAAATGCTGTTGGTAAAATGGTGCCAATAAATTCGCTCAATGCAAAAAAAAAAAAAAATTCACTCAATGCAGGGTACCACGAACTTTAAATTTGTAAAAAACACAGTATCTGCAAAGCTCAATAAAATGAGGTATACCTGTATTTAATCCCAATCTGCTTTATTAATATTTGTTCCACAAAATCTCCGATACAAACCTTTAACTCCAACTAAATCTGTTCCAGTTAACCTTGTTTAGAATATGCTTTTACTTATTATCACACTAAAATCTGTCTTTACTCATGCCGTTCCCTTCACTAGGAGTCCTTTTTCCCTCTTCAAGTCCTGCATATACTACTGTGTGTGAAGCCCATCAGACTATGCCTCCCTTATTAACACAGTTCTGTGTACGGTAGTCTACAATACTAGCTCTCTGTTGAACTTAGAAACCACTTATTATTTGGCACATAGTCATGTTTTAATAGTGTTACCTTTTCATAAATCCATGGTTTGTCTAATTGAGTTGCAAAACTTTTCTAGGGAAAATTTTGTTTCTATATGTCATTGAGTCTTCCACAGTCTCAGAGTACTATGCATAATTTAGATGTTCAGTAAATATTTTTATGGATGATTTATGACTGGTGATTGGTCAGTCTCTTGAGGATTCTTTAGAAATAATCTGGTTGCTTTTTTGTTTTTGTTTTCATTTCTGTGGAGTAGATTTATATGGTGCTATCTAAAGGCAGAGATAGGAGCTCAGTTGCTCTAGGTGCTACCTTGAGTTTAGAGGAAGCATATAATGAATTGAGATGACTTTGTTGTGTTATTTTAGGACTTTTTCTATTTAAATACCACATACGTAATTTTTTAAAGAGTTTATTTAGAGAGTGAGAGCGTTCACGAACGGCGGGGGGGGCAGAGAGAGAGGGAGAGAGAATCCTAAACAGACGCTGTGCCGAGTGTGGAGCCCGACACAGGGCCTGATCTCACAATCCTGAGATTATGACCTGAGCTGAAATCAAGAGTTGGACACTTAACTGACTGGGCCACCCAGGCGCTCCCTACATATCATTTTTTAAAAGGTCATTAATTTAAAACAATTCATATAGCACTTGAATGTGCAAAACATTTAATTATATAGTATTATATGCCTAATGAATATAATACTTAATGGTTATGTTTTGTTCAGCATTCAAATCATGTTTTTGATTAGGTTATAATTTTTACTATATTTGCATGAATCCATTTTACTGTAAAATAGCTCCTTAAACGGAACAGTGACTTGGTTTGCTGTCAGCTATTGCTAGTTAGAGAGCTTTTCCACTATGTTAGTAGTGAGGATTTGTAATTCAAGCATTTGCACAAAAAAATAGTTCTTCTCAATAAAAAGGTTCAAATATGTCTGTTAGAATTGTATTAACTAATCACTCGTTAATCACATACTATTTTAGTAGTGATGAGAGTGTAACAACCAGAAGGTGGTTAACATCAAGCTATTTTTATTTTGTTTTATAGAATAATAATAACCTGGATGCTTGCTGTGCTGTTCTCTCTCAAGAGAGTACAAGGTATCTTTATGGTGAAGGAGACTTGAATTTCTCGGATGACTCTGGAATTTCTGGCCTCCGAAATCACATGACTTCTCTCAACTTGGACTTGCATTCACAGAATGTTTACCACCATGGAAGAGAAGGAAATAGAATGAATGGAAGCAGGACTCTGACGCACAGCATTAGTGATGGACAACTTCAAGGTGGTCAGTCCAATAATGAACTCTTTCAGCAGGAGCCACAGACAGCACCAGCTCAAGTTCCTCAAGGCTTTAATGTTTTTGGAATGTCTAGTACATCTGGTGCTTCAAATTCAGCACCACATCTTGGATTTCAGTTAGGCAGCAAAGGAACATCTAACCTTTCTCAGCAAACTCCCAGATTTAATCCCATTATGGTAACTTTAGCCCCAAATATCCAGACTGGTCGTAATACTCCCACATCTTTGCACATACATGGTGTCCCTCCACCTGTACTTAACAGTCCACAGGGAAATTCTATCTATATTAGGCCTTACATTACAACTCCTAGTGGTACAGCTCGACAGACGCAACAGCATTCTGGCTGGGTATCTCAGTTTAATCCTATGAACCCTCAACAAGTCTATCAACCTTCACAACCTGGTCCCTGGACTACTTATCCTGCATCTAATCCTATGTCACATACCTCAGCCCAGCAGCCAAACCAGCAAGGCCACCAGACCTCTCATGTCTACATGCCCATCAGTTCACCTACTACTCCACAGCCACCAACAATTCATTCATCTGGTAGCTCACAGTCTTCTGCCCATAGCCAATATAACATTCAGAATATTTCAACAGGACCTCGAAAAAACCAGATTGAAATCAAACTTGAACCCCCACAAAGAAACAGCTCTTCAAAATTGCGTTCTTCTGGACCTCGAACCTCCAGCAGTTCCTCTTCAGTCAACAGCCAGACCTTAAATAGAAATCAGCCCACTGTTTACATAGCTGCCAGTCCCCCAAATACTGATGAGGTGATGTCCCGTAGTCAACCCAAGGTCTATATTTCAGCTAATGCCGCCCCAGGAGATGAACAGATCATGCGGAATCAGCCCACCCTCTTCATATCCACAAACTCTGGAGCATCTGCTGCCTCCAGGAATATGTCTGGGCAAGTGAGCATGGGTCCTGCCTTTATTCATCACCACCCTCCCAAAAGTCGAGCAATAGGCAATAACTCTGCAACTTCTCCTCGAGTCGTGGTCACTCAACCCAATACAAAATATACTTTCAAAATTACAGTTTCTCCTAATAAACCCCCTGCAGTTTCACCAGGGGTGGTGTCCCCTACCTTTGAACTCACAAATCTTCTAAACCATCCTGATCATTATGTAGAAACAGAGAATATTCAGCACCTCACGGACCCTACTTTAGCACATGTGGATAGAATAAGTGAAGCACGGAAGTTGAGTATGGGATCTGATGATGCTGCCTACACTCAAGGTAATAATCCTGAAGGTGGGGTCACTTTCCATGCTGGGCTTATTGGTGTACATTTGATTTTACTTGTAGAAATGGCTATCAGTATTATTATTTCATCTTTTTTTAAGTGTCAAATCATACTACTTTTAAAACCTCAGAGTATTCATACAAATTGTGAATTTCATTTTTACTATCATATAACTTAAAAGTTTGAAGGATAGGGTTATTACATCTTCAGCATAATCCATCCTGGTGTGCTTACTTTCTTAATGTTTTAACCCTTTCTTTTCAGTTAATTCTCTTCTCTGTGGTGATGTTGACTTGCTCTTTAAAATTTTTGTGAATAAAAATTCATAAAAACACATCTTAGTAAGATATTAGTGGCCTCGTATAGTCGGTAAATCTGCCTTCTTTGACTAGGCGATTTCTCTATTTTTCAAGTATTTTCGTTTTTCTAATATAACATTGTTAGTCTTATTTTATATCAAAATCTAACTTCTTACAAGTCCTAGAATAATTTACCTCTAAGAGAGATTTTGAGTTCTGTTCTCAATATTTGTTTCTTTCAGCCTCCCTTAAACATCAGTTAATGCAGCCTTTATCTTTATTTGGAATTGTGGATAAAAACATTAGTTAGTCTATCTCATTTGATTATCCTCTTCTGAAATAGACTAGTTGATATTGGCATAATACTAAATTATATCTGTATTAATTCAAGTAGAGATAATTTCTGTCAGATGTGTTTTATTTGGTCCCTTAAGTTACTTAATCTTCAGTAAGAAACCATTAAACTCCTTCAGATATGAAAGTGGAGGTTAAGTGTTTGTTTTCTTGAATATTGATGCAGGTTTGTAGATTGGCTGAGAGTCCTTTAGAGCAACAACATATCGTAGTCATCTTTGTATCCGCAGTGAGCTGTTCCAAGTATTGTAGGTTGGAGAAGAATAGATTATCACCCCCTTGCAACATGCAGCCCTGTACGACCACTAGTACCACTTGTTCTTTTAAAAATTTCTTAAAATAGTGATTTTACTGCTGAGTTTCTCAGAGGAGCCTGATTGTTATGTTTAAACTACTGTATTCTTGTGCTTCTCAACTCAAGCTGGGCTGTGATGCTTTCAGATTTCATAAACACCTATGGAGCTTTCAAATAAGGATGCCCAGGGCTCATCCCAAACTTGCTCAGTTAGAATCTCTGAATGGTGAGGTCTAGGTGTGCATGTGTGTTTTAAAGGTCCGTGGGTGATTCCGATTGCACTAGAAATTGTGCTAAAACTGGACCCGTTTTTGTTTAGTTTCAGGCAATACATGAATTTTAATATACCATTATTTATTTCACTGATATTTAATTCCTGTTTTTCTCCCACAGTCCTCTTCTCCTTCTCTCCTTCCAGCAAATAGCAGATTTCCTGTATTTAGGTAGTTGCTGTTTCTTAAATGGAGAGTAAATTGTTGTATGAAGATAATTTGATAAAGGGAATTTTCAGTTGAAATAGACATAATCACCTTTAACTGGAGTGTGAATATAAAGTGTTGCTTAAACTTGCTATCTCCAGTTTCTCTCATTCTCTTTTGAATCTAATCCAGTCAGGATTTTATCCACTATAGTCACCCAGAACTGCTCTTGTCAAGGTCATGAGTGACAGCATTGTTAAAAAACCCACAGTCTCCTTTCGGCCTTCATCTTCCTTGATGTATGTATCAGCAGCATTTACCAGTCAAGCACCCTCTTCACTGTGAAACATTTTGTTCATTTGACTTCAGGATACTACTCTAGAATTTCCACCTCTCTTTTTATTCTTAGCTGGTTCTCCCTCCCTCAGCTCTTACCTCTTTATCCTTCCGCTTCTCAAAGAAATGAGATCAAAGCCTCAAAGCTTAATCCTTGGGCCTTTTCTCTTTTCTGTCTGTACCATTCTGTAGGTGATCTCATTCAGCCTCATGACTCTAAATATTAGATGCTAATGCCAGAGTGCATGGGTGGCTCAGTTAAGCGTCCCATTCTTGATTTCTGCTCAGGTCATGCTCTCAGGATCATGGGATCAAACCCCATGTCAGGCTCCATGCTCAGCGCAATCTGCCTAGATTCTCTCTCTCCCTCTCCCTCTGCCCTTCCCTGCGCACACATGCGCGTGTGCTCTCTTTCTCTCTCTCTCTAGATAAATAAAATCTTTTAAAAACAATATAAATAAATAAATAAATATTATGTGCTAATGATTCCCAAATTTGTAACTCTAACCTAGACTTATTCCCCAAATTTCAAGCCAGTTTATTTAACATCTCCATTTGAATGTTTACTAGGCATCTCGAATTTTCTGTATCTGAAATACCTTCTGACATTCCCCCAGCTTACTCTTCTATGATCAGTCCTCCCATCTCAGTTAATGACAACTTAATTTTTTTAGTGCTTAGGCCAGATACTTCAGAAACACCCTTGACTCCTCCTTTCTTTCATATTTCACATCTAATTTGACAGTAAAATCTGTCAACTCTAACCTTCAAGGTGTATTAAGAGTTCTCTCCTTACCACCTATGGCCACCACTCTGGTCTGAGCTACCATCATCTCAAGTGGATTATTGCAGTAGCCTACCTGCTTTCACTCTTGCTTCCTTATGGTCTTCTTTCAAATAAGCAGCCAGAGAGACACTGTTAAAAAACATAAGTCAGATTATATAATTCCTCTGCATATGATGGCTTTTTCGTTCAGAGTAAAAGCTGTGAAGCCTTGCATGACCCACTGCCCATCCCTCAGCTCTTTTCCTTCTGCTTTCCTTCAGCCCTATTGGCCTTCTTGCTATTCCTTAAACATGGAAGGCATGCCTTAGGATCTTCGTACTTGCTGTTTTCTCTGTCCGAAATTCTCTTCTCCCAGAATCCACAATTAACTCCCTTCAGATCTTTACTCAAAAGTCACCTTCACCTTTTCCATGAGATTATCTCTGGTCTTCGTGTCTTAATCTCCACCCAGCATTCCTATCTCCATTTTTGCTTATATTTGCTTAGAGAGGGGGGAAATGAATAATCTAATATTAAGACATATAATAACTAATACATAATACATAATACACTGAAAGCTTACTATGTGCTAGGCAATTTTCTGAATGCCCATTTATTCCTCACAACCAACTATAATGTAGACATTAGTATTATTACTATTTTCAGATTAAAATATTTAGGAACAGGGGCTACCTGGGTGGCTCAGTCAGTTAAGCATCCAACTCTTGATTTCAGCTCAGGTCATGATCTCGGGGTTATGAGATCGAGCCCCACACTGGGCTCCACACTGAGCATGGAGCCCACTTAGGATTCTCTTCTCCCTCTGCCCCTCCCCCTGCACTCTCTCCCACTCTCTCTCCCCCCACCCAAATAAATAAATAAATAAAATACTTATGAACAGACTGGGTAAGTAAGAACCTTGCCAAAGGACAAATAGCAGAGTCAAAGATTCTAACCTAGGAAGTTGCCAATGGAGCCCACACTCTTAACCGCAGCACTGTAACATCTTTCCACATTTGCAAAATAAGCCCTCTGGAAGGATGTTTAAGTTTGTCTTATAGCTTCACATAACCCCTGGTACATCATTGTGGGGGCCACATGTTCCCCAGTTTAAGAAGTGTGAAGCTAAAAGATCACTCAATAAAAAGTAAAACAAGAACAGGCAGCTATAGGGAAAGAAATCACAACATACAGATGTAATTAGGAAAACAACTTGAAAAATAAAGTAATACCCTGGAGTGGTATGGGGAGCACCTTCCAAAGGCACCTAAAGGTGAAAAAAAAAACAAAAAACCGCTGATGAGTGAAGCCTCTGGTTTGAGAGCTCAAAGCCTACCCAAATAGCAAATAGCAGGGTTCCTCAGAATCTGCCACTCAAATTACTTCTCTTCACTAACAGCCTTCAGACAGTTTAAACAACTACACTCACTTTCTTTAAACATATCTACATACCTGTGGAATTCCATAACTTTCATGTGGCTGTGCATCCTTGTATTATCTCTCTGCATGCACTCTGTATTGGGGGAGGTCCTGTTTTGCAGCCTTTCATCTTGTTTCCTTCTGTTTCGTACGGAACTGCTGTTGTTGACCCAGATTTATGCATATCCAGTGACAAAGTCTTGATGGAGTGTTTCTTTGACTTGGTTCTATTAAGATCAAAGGATTGTTCTTTTCTGAAAATGCATCTTTTATGATGTTACCTTACATGTGTGTGATGCTCTACAGTTTATATAGCACTCACTACCGTACTTCATATGGCAACCCAAATAATACTGATATTTAAGCAAGCATCTTTTCTCAACTCTGATTTGTGTGGTGTGGGTAATAAAGAGAAAAGAAATCTCTCTGCCTCCTGCAGTGAAATTGATCTTTCCAAAGCTCCTGGAACATACTGTTTCCGAGTAGGAAAAGAAGCTGTGCCAGGTATAGAATCCTAGGAAAATATTTTTCTCAAAAACTGAGGAGGGAACATACATAAATAAATTTGGTAAACAAAATGCAGTATTTTTCATTTATATTTCATCTAACATTTAAAATCTACAATAAAACATTTCAAAAATGAGAATTTATGTTTATAAAAGATACATTGTTGGATATGCTCTCTGCTATAGAATGAGCAGAGGAAAAAGAGGTAAATTAATGAAACTTCTACCACTCTCCTGCTCATTTCGTCACCAAGTCTCCCACCACCACTGCGAAAGGAAATAAATTACATTTGAGTCTTTAAACTACCACAGGAATCAGAGACACCAATGAGTGCCCAATAGAAAAGACAAATTCAGGTTAGAGAGAAATTCCATTTCATAGTCTATGGATATGAAGAAGACTCTTATTTTACCTGCTAAGAAGAACAAATATTGAAGCGAAAATTTCTCAGCAGTAGTAAAGGTTACTGCGTGGCCAAATAGCTACATCTCTCCCCCCTACCCCCCCCTTGAGTCATACTACCTGACTCTACCTAACTTCTGAAAATACCAGTAAATACCTGATCATTCACTGTATTCTGAGACTCTCTGGTGTTTTC